CTAATCAAGGAAGGTTAGTTTTTGGTAGCGTAAGGACACACACGCACGCACGCACGCACACACACACACACACACACACACACACACACACACACACACACACACACACACACACACACACACACACACACACACACACACACGCACACACACACACACACACACACACACACACACACACACACACACACACACACACACACACATCTAAAGGGTGTGTTTGGGTGTGTGTATGTATATATGTCTGTATATATGTATGTATATATGTATGTATATGTATGTGTATATATATATATATATATATATATATATATATATATATATATATATATATATATATATATACACTGTAAAGATATATTTAAATCCTACATCTACACTCGCATTGTTTACTGTCAAATGTCACTGAAAGTAAGTGTCTGTTTTTGACAGGCTGTCATTTTTATCACGTACCCATCAGTCCATCGCATCAGAGCTTCGACTAAGGCCTGCACGATTGGTGGCCGAGTCTGAAGGTCGCAAAATTATTATATAACTCGTAATGTCGTCTTTTTGAAATATGAAAATCACTTTCATTTTACTGCCCTGATCAGCGTAATGACGGAAAAGAAAAACGCAGAAACTAACTAGGCACAATTTTGGTAGGAAAATACAAAATGAAAATAAGTAAAATACAAAAAAAAAATAGATATGTATAATAATTTTGATCAGAAAAGACAAAATGAAATGGCTACAGTTTTGAAAGAAAACGACAAAACGACATCGGTACAATTTCGATGATTTTCTTTCCTTTGGCCGCCGCTCGTCTGGACACAAATGAAATTTCCTGTCGTGTTTATCCCAGACAAAAAGGTTAAGGTTTGGTCTATGTTGACTCATGCTGGTTTCCCATTTCTTCATTCGGAAATGTATTAAATCTGCGGGTTACAATGCCATGTTTCAGTTGGTGTCTCTGTGATCCGAACTGAATGTTTGAATGTAACACTGAACACTGTAACATCCATTTGCTTTTCTCGAATGCCCATAAAGACTTCTTTTTATTATAATATCACTTACATTTATACATGATTTTTAAAGCCTTATTTCAACAGATTGCAATCACACTACTAATAAAATGCTTTGACTCTGTTCATCACACCGACATGCTTTTTAATTCAAATGCGTTTTAACACGATTTTTTTCTGTATCTAACTTCTTGTTTTGTTTCCTGTGTTCTTTAACATATTTCTTTGTTTATCCTTTCATTCTTTGTTTCTTACCTTTACTATTTTTTTTTAATACTAGATGGCCAACTCTACACTTTTATTTTATGCCAGTACTTGTTAATTAAACTCTTTACACACTATGTTGCTATCGTCCTTACTTTCCACTCGAACAACACCGGGTAAACCTTCAACACCATTCTGTTCTTTCTGCCAAACATTTCATACGAAAATTAATTACATCATCACTACCTATCACCTCTATGCAAAGTGACCTAGTCTGACCTCCCCATTAGAGCATATCGTGACCTGTTTTTCTTTCGACCCTCCAGAGCAAGCGAATGCCAGCGCCCAGAAGAAGAGACGACCGTACCTGCTCAAGAGGAAAGCTCTCACCACCGGCTTCTTCGATTCCAAGAAGGAGGAGGCTAAGGGTAAGTGCAGAAGAGAGGGGTGGAGGGAGGAAGAGGAAGGGTAAAGAGAGAGAGAAAGGGAAGGATAGATGAAAGGGGGTGAGAAAGGGGGAAGGGAGTGTTGAGGTTTGTATGAAAACAAAAGGAAAAGAGAGAGAGAGAGAGAGAGATCATAAACGAGAGGATATTAGTTAAAACTCCCATTTAAATTTCATATTTGCAATTTAATCATGTAGGAATACAAACCAAAGGTGAGAGTTTACTAGAAGAAAATAGTAATAGACCTTTTCACATGCACTATTCATATATATATATATATATATATATATATATATATATATATATATATATATATATATATATATATATATATATAATGAATTTCTTAATATTGCCTATTTGTTCTGAAATTTGGATTGTTAGACAGAAGGCACAAAAAATGTTTCTGGCAACTGGTGGACATGCGAACACACACAGCAATTATTTCAAATTAAGTTTTTTTTATGATCATTTCCGGTTTATATTATCAACCTGTCAATAATATGTGAAAATTGCCAGTCTATCATGACCACTTCAGTAGACGACGGAGCACCACTTTATAAACACATGGATTACAAATTTATTTTAACTCAACACGTACTTTCATTCTTGATCACCAAAGACGAATCATATATATATGCAAATAAAATAAGCAGATCTTAGATTTATATATGTGTGGAGTATACCAGTAACCAAACCAAAACAGAAAGGCAATGAACCTCGAAACCAGGGCCTCCACTGCGCACACTGTGTCCGAGGTCATGGCGGCGAACACTACGAGTGGGAGGGACGTATTTCAGTCGCCATTTCTTGTTTCCTGTTCCTCCGCCTGCCCCACTCCGCTCG